TCATTGACAGAATCAACACTGCTTCGTAAATAGGTTACTAACTCCAGTGTGGGGGAATGACAGGCCTAAATGTACATCAGGCAAAGGGCTGGTGATCACTCCTCCATCCAATCCTAAATTTAAGGCAAATGTAAACAAGTGAAATACACCAATCAAAATCACAAAACAAATAAGGTGCCAAATATCTTGGAAATGACTGAATTTACACCAAACATGCTTCAGAACTTAGATAACAACTGGCAAAAAAAAGGAATTTTTATCAAGACAGGAATAACCACACATACAATTCAGCAGTTAAGACAGTGGTAGTAAGCATTAATCAACGTTTTAGTAAGAGACAAGAAAGTCATTTTCTCCCCCAAAACGTGAATATTCTGTTGAATCAGCTGCCTTGAATGCAATCACAGTAATGAAGTGCCACAGTAAACAGGAAGTCACGGTCACAATAACGAGGATTAACCTCTTTCCAAGCTGCTTGAGCACTTGGTGCTGCTCCACCTTCCAGGGACACTCCATTTTTGTCCACCACGGCAAAGAATCCTCTCCATAACTGTGTTGCAATCACAAACTTTTCCGGATCTTTCTGGATCTGGCTGGAAGATAAGAACTGCAGCCAATTTTAAGAAACGCTGAAAACCTAACTACACGTATTCTCTTGTGTTAAGACAATCAGGGTCTGCCCTTCAGTTTTCCCATGAATTACTGTCATCCCGAACAGCCATTACTAATACACGGTGTTTGTTAACATTAATACCATCTGTGATCATTACTGACACGCTGTCTGCACTGGACTGCTGCCACCTTGGCCAGGAGCACCTGCTAAGTGAATAAAATCCTAAATGCTCCCACGGCAACCAGAACTTCCAGCGGCATACCGCATCCATGAGTCGACAGGGGCGAGTACAGAGAAGAGGCCAAGTCTCATTTACGTTCTCGTCTAGCTGCTGGCCAGCTCCCAATATTAAGAGAACACGGCGGTGATAGGTCTGGCAGCATTCATTAAGCGGTACAGGTAGGCCCAAGTTCCTGATAGTCTATGTCCCAGGTTAGTGTTAGTAAGGCTTTTAAAAAAACAACAGAATGCAGAAGATGGCCTATATAATATGAAGATGGCCTTGCAATATAATATGAATCACAATGTTGCAGTGGCAGTTGCAGATTCTTGGTTGTCTCTGAGCAGCTTCATTGTTGTAACCTCAAGTGAAGTGTAATATGCACCAGTGTAGATTGTCATGTCCTACTATGTAAGCTTTTCAAGTATCTTTGGGCAAAAGCATTTCCTGGGTGGCGATAACGATGGAATCCCCTAACGATGTATTAATAAGCAGGACCTCATAAGAAGCTGGGTTAGCCTCTGCCTTCAGAGCAGCGTCGATCCTTCTAGGAACGCTGCCATAAACCTCCTAATCTGTATAAAATGAGGTATCAGATTATTTCCATTACTTAGAGGGATAAAGGAGGTAGAAATCTGCTTTGCGATCTGGCTTCAGAATGACGAAAAAGCTT